ATTCTGGGGTGACCCCTAAAAAAAGGGGGAACCAGATGTTTGGGGGGCAAAAAAGTGTGGGGTGACCCCAAAAAAGGGGTCCCAGGTCTTTGGGGTGACAATAAAGGGGTCCCAGATCTTTGGGGTGACCAAAAAGGGGGTCCAGGGGTCTGGAGGACCCAAAAAAGTCTGGGGTGACCCCAAAAAAGGGGGTCCCAGGGGTCTAGAGAACCCAAAAAAGTCTGGGGTGACCCCAAAAAAAGGTGTCCCAGGTCTTTGGGGTGACCAAAAAGGGGGTCCAGGGGTCTGGAGGACCAAAAAAAGTCTGGGGTGACCCCAAAAAAGGGGGTTCCAGGTCTTTGGGGGGCCAAAAAGGGTGTCCCAGGTCTTTGGGGGTGACCAAAAGGGGGTCCAGGGGGTCTGGAGAACCCAAAAAAGTCTGGGGTGACCCCAGAAAAGGGGGTCCCAGGTCTTTGGGGTGACCAAAAAGGGGGTCCCAGAGCTTTGGGGTGGGGTCCCAGGTCTTTGGGGGTGACCAAAAAGGGGGTCCCAGATCTTCGTGGGGCCAAAAAGGGGGTTCCAGGTCTTTGGGGTGACCAAAAAGGGGGTCCAGGACGTCTGGAGGACCCAAAAAAGTCTGGGGTGACACCAAAAAAGGGGGTCCCAGGTCTTTGGGGGGACAAAAATGTGCTTGGGGGTGACCAAAAAAGAGGTCCCAGGTCTTTGAGGGGCCGCAAAGGAGATCCCAGGTGTTGGGGTGACCCAAAAAGGGGGTTCCAGGGGTCTGGAGGACCAAAAAAAGTCTGGGGTGACCCCAAAAAAGGGGGTTCCAGGTCTTTGGGGTGACCCAAAAGAGGGTCCCAGGGGTAGGGAGGACCCAAAAAAGTCTGGGGTGACACCAAAAAAGGGGGTCCCAGGTCTTTGGGGTGACCCAAAAGGGGTCCCAAGGGTCTGGATGACCCCAAAAAAGTCTGGGATGACCCCCAAAAAGGGGGTCCCATGTCTTTGTGGGGCCAAAAAGGGGGTTCCAGGTCTTTGGGGGTGACCAAAAAGGGGGTCCCAGGTCTTCATGGGGCCACAAAGGAGATCCCAGGTCTTTGGTCTTCATGGGGCCACAAAGGAGATCCCAGGTCTTTGGGGGTGACCAAAAAGGGGGTCCCAGGTCTTCATGGGGCCACAAAGGAGATCCCAGGTCTTTGGGGGTGACCAAAAAGGGGGTCCCAGATCTTTGGGGGTGACCCAAAAGGGGGGTCCCAGGGGTTTTGGGGGTCCGGGGGAGGTCCCATCTCCCCGTTACCTTCGTTGTTGTCCAGGATGTTGGGGGCGAAGCCGCCCTCGTCCCCCACGTTGGTGGCGTCTTTGCCGTACTTGGCCTTGATGACGCCCTTGAGGCGGTGATAGACCTCGGCCCCCACCCTCATGGCCTCCCGGAAGCTCGCGGCTCCCACCGGTAGGATCATGAACTCCTGCATGGCCAACTTGTTCCCCGCGTGGGACCCCCCATTGATGACGTTGAAGGCCTTGATTTTTGGGGGGGGGGGAGGAAAAGGAAAGGGGTCAGGTGGTTGGAGAGGGATGACGACCCCCCCCAAAACTCAAAAAGCTCCCTCAAGACCCAACGAAGCTCCTCAAGATCCATCAAGAACGTCTAAGATCCAACAACCTCCCCAAGACCAAACAAAGCCCCTCAAGACCCATCAAGGACATCCCAGATCCAACAACACCCCCACCAAGACCCAACTGAGAACCCCAAGACCCAACTGGA